TCTCTCTCTCTCTCTCTCTCTCTCTCTCTCTCTCTCTCTCTCTCTCTCTCTCTCTCTCTCTGTCTCTCTCTCTCTGTCTCTCTCTCTCTCACACACACACGTGTAGATAAGGAAATAATTTCAGAAGCTGAGTGTCATAGTGACCGCTAATCATGAGACTGAGATTGAGGTCGAAGGACAGTTGGAGCCCAGGATTTTGAGGTTAGTTTGGATAACGAACCAACAACAACTAAACAAACCTTGGGCAGCACTCAGGAGGCAGAAGTGAATCTCTGAGTTCAAAGCTAGCCTGGTCTACAGATCGAGTTCCAGGACAGCCAGGGCTATGCAGAGGATGAATGTCCAGATATGCAAATCTATAATGACAGAAAGTTGGTTAATGCGTGTTTAAGGCTGGGTTTTGGAGTCATATGGAAAATGTCCTGAATGGTACAAGTAATGAACAACCCTCTAAAACACATCTGTGAGTATACTAAAATGCAACAAACCACAAACCAGGCCCTTTGTTTTGTATTTTGAGGTGGGGTTTGTCTGTAACAGTCCTAGCTGTCCTGGAACTTGCTTTGTAGACCAGGCTGGCCTCGAACTCACAGAGATCCGCCTGCCTCTGCTTCCTAAGTGCTGGGACTAAAGGTGTGCGCCAGCACTGCCCAGCTGTCTGACTAGTTTCTTGTAACACATTTTAAAAAGTTTCATTTATGTTGTAGAATAGCATCAGCAATCCGTTGTCTTTATGCCTGAATATTGTGTATGGCTGTACTGCATTTTATTTACCCATTTTGTAATTGATAGACTTTGGGCTCTTTTCTATTTTTTGACTAGTTTGAAAATTTGTGTACCCATTCTCACACAAGTTTTTATGTGGTCATGTATCTTTTGGGTATAGAAGAACTAGAAGTAAAATGACAGCACCATGTAAAAATGTATATTTTAATGAGACTACTTCGTGCATATGTGTGTGTGTATCTATATACATATTTCGATGTGAATATTATTTTATTGTATTTTTAAAAAATATTGTATCATGCCCCAGCCTGGCTTTAAAGTTAGTATGTAGCTAAGGAAGATCTTAAACTTGGGGTCCTCCTGAATCTGTCTTGAGGATTGCAAGTGTACACCATGATGCCTGGTTTACGAGGTGCTGGGAATTGAACCCAGGGCCTTGCACTTGATAGCCAAGTGCTTTTAACTGCTACTCTCCAAGCCATTTTATGGGTTTGTCTTTTAATGTGTACATTCTGTATGTTCTTTATTCAGAAACTGCTAACTCTTGAAGTAATTTTTTTTTTTTAAACCATTCTGGATCCCCTGGGAGTCCCAGCGGCTGCCTGGCAGAGGAAGTGCGGCCGTGGAGGGGTGCGTGCTCTTCTCTTGAGATGCCCCCGAGCCTCTGTTTCTTTCTTTTTTTTTTTTTTTTAATATTTTTTATGGTTTATTTAACTTTATTTTATGTGCATTGGTGTGAAGGTGTCAGATCCCCTGCAACTGGATCTTCAGACAGTTGTAAGCTGCCACGTGGGTGCTGGGAACTTAACCCGGGTCCTCTTGAAGAGCAGTCAGTGCTCTTAACCACTGAGCCATTTCTCCAGCCCTTGAAATAATTTTTATAATTATTTAAAAACTAGTATTTCATTGATTTTTTTTTTCTTTTTTACGCCTACTCAGGATGCTGTATCTGCTGCTCCTTTGTGAATGTCTTTTGCTGATAACTGGTCATGCTCATGAAGATGACTGGATTGACCCCACAGATATGCTTAATTATGATGCTGCTTCAGGAACCATGAGGAAGTCTCAGGTATTTGTGATCTAAATACACCAAGAAGACCTTATCTGCCATGATGGGAATAGTCCAGTTTTGTTGTTTTTCATACAGAGCTATAAGAGTTATATAAAGGATTAGTAGTTATGCAAGGTACTTTCTTGATATTTTCCCTCCCTTTTTTTCCATGCTGGGGCTGGGACCTAGGGCCTTCAGGCAATAGACAAGTACTCACCCATCTGGTTATTTCTGTTTGAATTTGGATGTAAAGGCCCAAGGAGTAAATCGGTTTAGTTTTGATTCTTAGCATATATAGTTAATTCTTACTTCTTGGTGGTTTGATGCAAATGAAGAATTTAAGAAGCAAAGTCATAAAACAATAGTCATGTTTTAAGTCTTTATTCAGTGGGACCTGTCTGTAAAACTGAAGCCTGAAGAGTAAAATCTCTACTTTGATACAGATGAAATATGGTACATCCGAGAAAAAGGAAGTGATTCCTGACTTGTCGAATGCCGAGGAGTTATCAGACTGTTTGCACAGACTGGATTCTTTAACTCACAAGGTTGGATTTTTTTTTTTTTTTCCGTTCACAAATTAACTATTTATTTTAGTTACTTTGCTGGCTAGTTTTCTGTCAGCTTGAGATAAGCTGGGGTCATCTGAGAGGAAGGAACCTCATTAAGAAAACACCTCCATGGGGCTGGAGAGATGGCTCAGCGGTTAAGAGCATTGCCTGCTCTTCCAAAGGTCCTAAGTTCAATTCCCGGCAACCACATGGTGGCTCACAACCATCTGTAATGGGGTCTGGTGCCCTCTTCTGGCCTGCAGGCATACACACAGACAGAATATTGTATACATAACAAACAAACAAACAAATAAATAAATAAATAAATACATATTTAAAAAAAGAGAAAGAAAACGCCTCCATCAGATGGGACTGTAGTCAAGCCTGTAGGGCATTTCTTAATTTTAGCAATTGATGGGAGAAGGCACAGCCCGTTGTGGGGGGCCACCTCTGGGTTGGTGGTCCTCGGTTCTGAAGAAAGCCAATAAACAACCTCTCCATGGCCTCTGCATCAGCTCTTGCTTCCTGGTTCCTGCCCTGCTTGAGTTCTTGTTCTGACGTCCTTCATTGATGAACAGTGGAACCAAATAAACTCTTTGCTTCTCTCATGCTGTTTCGTCACAGCAGTGTTAACCCTAAGACAGTTACTTGGTCTTTTTGTCTTTGTTAATTTTTATATTTGTAATGTTCTGTGTTCTATACAATTGTATATTTTTATCGATATAATTTAGTTACATCTTGTCTTATAAAATAGTACTTACTATTTTTGTAATAACATTAATTGTAATTGTTTCTGAGTATAAACTTGTTGGTACAGGAATAGCTTTTATCTTGATTCTTTTCACTGCCTACTGCTGCAGTGGAACAGGTGAGCAGATGAGGAAAGCTTATTAAAGGCTGTGACAGCTGTTCTTCCAGATGTGAACAGTGCTTATAATTTAGTGTGGGGAGCTCTTCTTTTTAAGCTTTTTAACATTTTGTTTAATGTTGTTTTGAGACAGGGTTTCTCTGTGTAACTTTGGAGCCCGTCCTGGAACTCAGTCTGTACCAGGGTGGCCTTGAACTCAGAGATCCCTCTGCCTCTGTCTCCAAGTGCTGGGATTAAAGGTGTGCACCACCACTTTTTTTTTTTTTTAATGTAGAGTTTATCTAAAAAGAAAGGATGTTGAGGGATTTGAGTGTTTTCTCTGGTCAGGTGGTAACTACTCTGCTGGTTGTATAGACAGTGAGATGGGGCGGCCTGGAGTGGGAGGGAGGGCACCATGTGGTCACTGAGGAGTGGCACAGCAACAGGGGTGCAGAGAAGGGAAGTGAGGATGGGGACGGTGAGGAGACAGAGAGAATGGGCGCTGTGTCCATCTCGTGAGACAGTAAGAGTTTTAACTGAAGTCCACATGTGTCCCGGTCAAGCACTCTGCCCTTTCTTTAAGCATACTTAAAATAAATCCTATACATTGTCAGACAAGAAATAACAGCCAGGTGTTTCTCTTCATTCTGAGAGCAGCACCAGGCCAGAAAGTAGTTGGTTTTTTTTTTTTTTTTTTTTTTTTTTAACATTTTGGGGGCCTGCCATCCAGCTCCCAAGTAAATACATAGACACTTATTCTTACTTATGAATGTCTGGCCTTAGCTTGGCTTGTTTCTAACTTAAATTGTTGGGAGCAGTGAGACCCCAGATCCTGAATTTCTTGTAATCCCCTGATCTGAGTGCCTACAGCTGCTATGAGCACGAGACCTTCAGGAGTTCCTGATGGCAGGAGAGTGGTTTCTGGTGGGTTTGGCTGGGGCGTGGCTATCTCTATATAATCTGCCCCTGAACACAATAAAGGGGGCATTCTTGGGGCGATTCAAGGATGACCCGTGTCGCTGTCTCTCTGTCTGTGTGTGTCTGTGTATTTTAACCTCCAGCCCCTTGCCCGAAGCTCGCGAACTGGGTGCCAGCACACAGAGCGCAGACATGGGGGCGCGGTGCGCGGCATTTGGAGTCTCCACCGCATTTGGAGGTCTCCACCGAGATAGCGGAATTTAGAGGTCCCAGGCGAGATATCGGGAACTAGGGAACGCTGAGAGGTCGCCCTCAGAAGGTGAGGGTGGGTTGGGGTAGATGTGTTAATCGCTAGGTTTGGCAGCAAGTGAAAGTCAACCGAGAAAGAGGGGTAAACGAACAGGACCTGACCTGACCGGAGGGGATGTATTGGGAAAAGATAGAATGTATATAGCTTAAAAAGATAAATGAGTACAGATGTATGATATGTTGATTGTGTTGTCTTTCTTTTGTGTTCTGGACTGGAGAAAGACATTTGATTCTAGGAACTGCTAAGAAAGGTACCTTTTTTTTTTTTTTTGGTTTTTCGAGACAGGGTTTCTCTGTGGCTTTGGAGCCTGTCCTGGAACTAGCTCTGTAGTTCTAGTCTCGAACTCACAGAGATCCACCTGCCTCTGCCTCCCGAGTGCTGAGAGAAAGGTATCTTGACTTTTTAAAATATGGGCTTAAGAATTTGATTAAGAATTTTGGAAAGGAGGTTTTGTTTTTGTCTCCACAGACGATGAGATCCTAAGGATTTAATTCGATATTCGTGTGGTTCCTGAAATGTTGCAGTGGGGTGTGAGCTGTGGCGGCTTCAAGGCCAAGCAGCTCCAGGCAGCGGGAGCTGAGGGGCTGTGACGCCCAGGGGTCCCGGGACCTGCGGAGGACCCATGAGGCAAGAACGTTAGGCCTGCTTCCAGCGAAGGCCTCAGGGCGCAGAAGAGCGGCATGATAGGACCGCGACAAGACCTGTTGCTGGACCTCTGTCCCAGCCCCGGGCAACTGGCCTGGACAGGATCCGCTCTACCCTGACAGGGTCGGTCCCTCTGCTCCGCCCCGCCATTGCCACGACCCACATCCAAGCGCTACTGGAAAATGGCAGTAAATTGCAGTAAATACCCCTAAGAATGCAAGGTCCCCTCTCAGCAGGAAGTAGCCAGACAGATTGACAACGCCCAAATTCCCTAAAAGATCATTTAAGTGGGGTCCCTTCAGTGGTTGCAGAGCAGCAAGCCTGCTTTCCTGAGTTCCGCTCCACTCCATGCACCAGTTTGGAACCAGAACGAATGCAGCTGGGGCTAGAAGGCAGCTGGAGCAGAGCTTTGCTAGGTGACTGTGGTGGAAGGCACATTGCCTCAGCCCAGACGGTGCCTAGCCTGGCGGATGCCACAACAGTGCCAGCAAATGCAATAAGTGCTGGAGCTGAGACAAGCTGGAGAACAGACCCCACTGGGCTGCCTGAGAACGCGGCAGCAGGACAAGGAAAAGGCAGTGGCAGTTTCAGACTCTGCACACTGAAGAGTCTGCGGTAGAGCGAATTTAAATCAAGAGACTGCCCTATTGTAGGAGTGGGTGGACTTATGGCTAGTACACCAAATGTCTTGTTCATTATTTCGTTTGTATGACAGCTGTTAATATTGGGAATGCCTCTTATGTGGTGAAACAACTCAATGGTTACTAGAATAACCCTTGAAATGTTAGTTAGCACACCAGATTGTAACTGTTTTAGCCAAAGGGTTCCTTAGCAGAAGCAGGATCAGCTGGGCTGCTAGGGAAGCTAAAGAGGTGCACGAGCGAGAAGGTGTCTTTCATGCACTCAGCTGACAAGAATGAATGTGCCACGGGGGTATGGCAGCTGGGGTATGTTATTTAGGGGACTGCTGAAGGAACAGTGAGGTCATGTCAAAGCCACTCCTAAAAGTCCCGAGTCTGAAATGGTCACACACCTCCGTTCACTTGAGGGGAAGAGGATGTGTGGGAAATAGTATGAGGAACCAACAGTCTCTGGGATACTTGGATCTACCTGTCTTACAGGCTTAAGTTGCTCTCTTGTGTTCCCTAAAAGCCAATATTCTCCTGAGGAGAAGCTGTTATTCTCTCCTGAGTACAGGTTCAATCAAAGTGACCAAAAGGCTGTGTGGTCAGGAGGGTCTTCTGCTTTATAAAAAATTTAGGGGGGAGATGTTGGGAGCAGTGAGACCCCAGATCCTGAATTTCATGTAATCCCCTGATCTGAGTGCCTACAGCTGCTTTGAGCACGAGACCTTCAGGAGTTCCTGATGGCAGGAGAGTGGTTTCTGGTGGGTTTGGCTGGGGCGTGGCTATCTCTATATAATCTGCCCCTGAACACAATAAAGGGGGCATTCTTGGGGAATTCAAGGATGACCCGTGTCGCTGTCTGTGTGTGTCTGTGTATTTTAACCTTGAGCCCCTTGCCCAAAGCTCGGTAACTGGGTGCCAGCGCACAGAGCGCAGACACGGGGGTGCGGTGCGTGGCATTTGGAGGTCTCAACTGAGATAGCGGCATTAAATTATCCCATTTCTTTTTAACCATGTTTTGTCTCTGGGCTTTTATCTTTCTTTATTCTATAGATCTTTCTTCCCTTCTTACTCCGTGGCTGGCTGTGTGGCTGGGTAGCTCATAGCTGGCGTTTTCTTCTCCTTCTCTTGCTTCTCCTCTCTCATCTCTCAAGCCTAGATTTCTTCTATTTATTCTCTGCCTGCAACCCTGCCTTATCCCTCTCTCCTACCTAGCTATTGACTGTTCAGCTCCTTATCAGGTGTTTTAGACAGGCAAAGTAACACTACTTTACAGGGTTAAACAAATGTAACATAAAAAATGCAACCCATCTTTGCATCATTAAATATTCCATAGCATAAATAAATGTAACACATCTTCACTAATATTCCACAGCACTAGAACTTGACCTATCATTAGCTTTTGAAGCTTGACTTTATTATATGATTACAGGTGGATGACTGTGAGAAGAAGAAAATGAAAGATTATGAAAGTCAAAGCAATCCTGTGTTTAGGAGATACCTAAATAAGATTTTAATTGAAGCTGGCAAGCTTGGACTTGTAAGTATTTGAGGCCATGATACTGATCCATAGCAGATACTTTCATTGTTCATTTCACATCGTGTAAGAAGTTGTGCCATGCACGTGACACATCTGTCGTGTTAGCACTCAGGAGGTTGAGGCAGGAGAATTTCTAGTTCTGGCCCAGTCTGTTTCCCCCCAAAAAAGGGGGTGTGGGGGGGAAGTAATAGAGCCTCATTGTGCTTAGTAGAGAAGAACCTGCTTCACCCTTTCCCCCAACGCTGTGTGTACAAGACTGTAGGAAGCATCCAGCACGACAGGGGCTGGTGGAGGTGAGCAGTACAGAAGGTGCTGTTTTCCCTAAAACCTGAGGACTAGCTCCATCAATTGCACTGCTGTCCCCTAGGGACAGAATCTCGTCCTGACCTTTCTTCTCGTTTTCCCATTCCCGTGAGGACAAGAAAAATGTGTTTTCAGTAGTCTTTCTCTTTGCTGGTTACTATGGTAGGGCTTACTTTTGGAATTGTGTATCATGTGCAGTGGTACAAGGTGGGAGTCCTTGTGTTATTTCACAGTGCTGGAGAGCAGACCCAGGGCCTTGCACGTACTAGGCCATAGTGTTACCATAGAGTAACCCTAGCTCCAGCTTTCCATATAGTTTGTTTGTTTATTATCTCATCATTTTTGAGAATCACTGTTTCAGTTTGGGAAATCAACACATGATGAAGACTTATGATTTTGTATCTTATAAAGCTCATTTTTACACATTGTTAGCCGGAAGGCTGAGAAGTGTATCCAAAGCTTATCTGTAAGTGCATGACGTATTTTTTCTGTATTGTTTATGCCCCCAGGATTGGTCTAGGGGTTGGAGGCAGACTTTTGTTTGGTCTGGCCATGTGTTCCAGCCACCAAAAGCAGCTCACAAGTTTACCTTTTTTTTTTCTTTTTTGAGATAAAGTCCTATGTAGTCCATAAAAATAAGAGATATGCCTATCATCCTTTTGCAGGGGTTGTACAAATCTCTGTATCATTCCAGCTATAGTATATGGGCAGACAAATTGAGCACAGGAAATTTCCTGTTAGGCAGTTTTTTCTCAGTATAACAAAATACCTGAGAAAGGACCCTTAGTTGATAGTGTTTGCCTGGGGTTCCATCCCTAGCCCCCCATAAACCAGGCCCTGGTGTGTATGCTGCAGCCCCCTAGTCTTGGAGGTAGCTGATCAGTATTTCAGTCTTCCTTGGCTACTTAGCAAGTTCAAGGCCAGTATGGCATACATGAGACCCTCTCTCAAACAAAAATCCAAAACAACAAAAAAATAAATTAAAAAAAAAAAGGGAAAAGTAAGGTTTGTTTGGACAAACCTTTCATGATTTGGACATTGCAGTGTAAGACCTGGCCTTTACTAGGTATAGCAGATACTCATGGCTAGAAAAGCGTGTAGTGGAATCTCCTTTTCTTGTCGTGGCTAGGAAGCAAAAGGGAAGGAGAAAGGAAGATCCGCCCCACAAGTCCTTTCAAGGACTTACTTCTAACTTCCTCCCACCAAGTCCCACCTCCTAAATGTTTGACCACATGGCTATAGTGCTACCCTGGGCATCAAGTGTTTAGCATGTGGACCTTTGGGCAACATTGAACATTCAGACTGTAAAGCCTGGGTGTACTGGCATATGCCTATAATCCTTGTGCTCAGGAGTCTAACACAGGAGGATCACTGCTTTGAGGCTGTCTTGGGAGTCATAATAAGATTCTGTCTCAAAAATCAAACTGAAATTCAAATTATGTATCAACTGGTCAATGAATGTCAGTTGTTTACAGTGAACTTGCACTGATAAAAAGATAGTTTTCTATTTCAAGGAAACACATTTTTATTTTTAAATAATTTTGAAAATGTTTCTTATTTTTAAATTTTAGGCTATCTGACAATAAATAGTGTCAGCAAATGAAACTCATAAATTGAATCATAAAGATGCAGAGTCTATCCTTATTTTTTGCAATTTCCATGTTTGTGAATTTACCTACTAAGATTTGTCATATCAAAATCAGTCCTTCGTGATTTCTAAAAATTATCATTTTTAAGGTGTGTGTGTGTGTGTGTATATATATATATGCATATGCATGTGTGTTCACAATGGGAAGGACAGAGATCAATTTGGGGTGTCTTCCAAATCACTTTTCACCCTATATTTTGAGGCAAAGTTTCTAACTAAACTGGAGCTCACCAACTGGGCAAGATTGGCTGGCCAGCAAGCCCCAGGGATCCTCCTGTGTCTTTGTACTCAGGGGTACGACTATGGGTTTTCATTTCCACAACTGGCTTTTAATGTGGGTGCTGGAGATCCAAACTCAGGTTCTCATTCATGCAGAGAAAGCACTTTCTACCTGAGTCATCTCACCATCCCCTCCTTGAGGTATTTCCGTGGTCATTCTTGTACATGTGACAATTGCTTGATTCTTTCATCATGTCTTGATTCCCTAAACTGAAAGAGTGATTCTAAAAAAAAGATGGATGGATAGGTAGGTAGGTAGGTAGGTAGGTAGGTAGGTAGGTAGATAAAAAAAAAAAACCTAGAAAATTGGAGCTAAGGTTACTGCTCAGAGGTAACACTATGGTCTAGCATGTCTAAGGCCCTGGGTTTAGTAAGGCGGAACAAGGCAACAAAACTCACTACTTTGTTTCAGGGCCAATATTGTAGATCATTGTTTTTATCCTGGCCTATTACATGCTACATTCAGTGTGGCCTATTACATGCTATGTTTTGCACACTTTGGGGTAGGAAGGGATTTCTTTGTTTAAAGTAATTACATCATTTGGAATGTCTCCGAAATGTGAAATGCCATCTATTGTCCCTGCATGCAAAAAGCCTATGATGTGCCCTACAAGAAAAGCATGTAATATAAACTTCATCTGGGCATGAATTATAGGACTCTTGGCAGTGTGTTTAGTGGTAATGAGTCACTGATATTTCTGATTAAGGTGTCAACAGAAACAAAGTTATATATTGATCAGTTGATAAGTGTTCAGAGACCAGGGCAGAGGTTTCTGTCCTGCCTGGGCCCACAGCTGTTCAATCCCAAAGAGACACACAGACGCCTACATTAATTTAAACTGGTTGGCCTATTAGCTCAGTCTTTTTATTAACTAACTCTTACATCTTAACCCATAATTCTTGTCTGTGTTAGCCACATGGCTTGGTACCTTTTATCAGTGAGGTGTTCTTATCTTGCTTCTTCTGCATCTGGGTGATGACTGCAGACTGAACCTTTGTTCTTTGCAAAATTCTCCTATTCTGGTCATCCCATGTATACTTCCTGCCTGGCTACTGGCCAGTCAATGTTTTATTAAACCAGTACAAGTGACAAATCTTTACAGGGTACAAGACCATTGTCCCATGGTACTTCTGCTTTTTTTCTTTCTTAAACAAGAACTCTGAATCTTACCTCCTTTGTTTAGCTTTTTTCCTGACCACTATCCACAACAACTTGTAACTAACACTCTAAACAAAGACAAAAAGTCATAATCCATTTTTGGGGGGAGTGTGGGTGTGATTTATAGGCTACTTTCTGCTGATTGTGAGCACTGATAATTTTTATGGGGACCTAAAGAAAATTTAGGATTGTGGTCAAGTCCTGACTGGAGTATTCTGTGAAGCTTGATCATCTCAGCCAACAGTCTTGAGGATGTTCTGGATGTAGAACTCAGAGGAAACTGCAATGAGATGTTCTGAAATGTTGGATCATCTGGGCTATCTGCTCCTATCAGAGATTTTTCCAGGGGTCTTTCTTGATCAAACTTGATTTTTCTTAACCCAGAATGAATTCCCAGCCTCTCATTTCCTGTGGAAACAAAAGCAAAACCTCTTCCCCAAAGAGAGATATCTTTTGACTTAAATTTTGAAGTCAGGGCATTTTCAAAATAATTACGTTGGATTAATCCAGCAGCATTTATAATCAAATGTCTTTTGGCAGCTATGGCTCCTCCCTCAGCCGTCAAACAATTCAAGGACAACACAGTGACATTCAACATCCAGATTCTCTATTTTCCATCTTTATGTGGCTTTATTTTAAACTCTATTTTATTTTTAATTTTTGGTTCCTGTTCCCTGCTCATGCAAAGGACTGTTGATCTGTGAGTCTACCCCTGAATAAAGAACCCTTTATTATACTCAATTCTGAGCTAGTGTGGGACTGCCCTGCAGAGGTTCACGGGAACCTAACCCTGTGCTTATTGTAGGACTGTGGCCCAGCAGTTGCGAGTGACAGTATAGAGCCTGTGTACTTCACACAGTGAAACCGACTGTCCTTCATGAAACGTCTGGTGTCTTTGTTTTTAGGATTCTGCAATGTTTTAGTGCTTCTTACATATATTTGGATTTTATGCTAGCCTTTGAGGATAAGTATATATTATACTTAGGAAATACTACAAATTAATATACTTTTTTAAAGCAGTGCTGGCATGTAGAAGTATTTACACCTTATTATATTGAGTTCCAAAGTATTTTATTTTTGAGATAAGCTCTCTGTATGTAGCCCAGGCTAACCCTGAACGCGAAGTTCTTTGCAACATCCTCCTGTGAGAGGTGGAATTTGCCAGTGATGAAATCATATTTGGCCCAGATTGGTTTTCCTGTTTCATTGAATAGCGTAGTAATACAGTTGTTTCTCTGTTGGTGTTTTGGTAACTGATACAGCCTGATGAAAACAAAGTTGATGTGCATTATGATGCTGAGATTCTCCTTACAAGACAAACACTGTTGGAGATACAGAAGTTCCTCAGTGGAGAGGAGTGGAAGCCAGGAGCCTTGGATGACGCCTTAAGTGATATTTTAATCAATTTTAAGTGTCATGATTCAGAAGCATGGAAGTGGCGATTTGAAGACTCTTTTGGAGTGGATGCATATAATGCGTTTATGGTAAGATGCCATGAAGGTGGCATAGAAGCTTCCGCTGGAAAAACCCTTCCGAAACTTTAGCACAATTGAGAACCTGTTCTTAGTTCTTATTACAGGGATGAATAAGCAGTGAAATTGTGTACAGATAACTTTGAGTCTCGTTCTTTTAAGGCTGTTTAAAAATGACATTCATTTATTTTGTATGCATGATACATATGTGTGTGAGTGTGTGCAGAGGACAGCTTGTAGAATTCGGTCCTCTGTTTGCTGTGTGCCATGGGATTGAACTCCGCTCCTCAGGATTGAGGCAGTGGATTAACCTGCTGAGCTGCCTGCATGCCCAAGTCTGCCTGTTTAAAAACTGATGTTTGGTGTTTTTTGGTGGGGAAGACCACTCAGCAGTGACTCTGGTTCCCATTTCTGTTTTCAAGGTGCTCTTGTGTCTGCTCTGCATTGTGCTGTTGGTGGCTACAGAACTATGGACACATATTCGCTGGTACACACAGTTGAGACGCATTTGTATTATCATTTTTCTCTTCAGTGTGGGATGGAATTGGGTGTATCTATATAAGGTATTAAATAAGTTTGTATTTGTTACTGTTATTTTTTTTGTTTTCATTTGTTTTTTAGTTAAATGTAAATTCATAGTAACCAGAGACTATAATATACTCCTAGAGCAGTCTTGCCTCAGATATGGTTGAAGACAGTGGTTGGATTATCAGTAGTGGGAATAAATAAATTGGTAATTATCAGCCACTTGGGGTTTAGGAGATCTGATCATTTAGTAAAAAAAAGTGGCTCTACCTTTTATTATCACAGAGCAAAATGGACATAGTTTAGAAACATGTAATTTGGGAAATTAATTTATACTTGTTAGAAGTAGCTGGGGGGGGGCATACACCTTTAACCCCAGCACTCAGGAGGCAGAGGCAGGCGGATCTCTGTGAGTTCGAGACCAGCCTGGTCTACAGAGCTAGTTCCAGGACAGGCCACAGAGAAACCCTGTCTCGAAAAACCAAAAAGAAGAAAAGAAAAGAAAAAAGAAAAAGAAATGACACCAAAATTATGATAGAAAATGTTATCTCTAAAAATTAGGCTTTTTGAATATAAAAGTTAGGTATGGTCACTGTGGAGAAATTAGAAAACAAAGATACAGGTAAAGTATTTTTTAAAATTTACTCACAGTCTTATTACGTATGAATAATTGTTGAATTTTTATCTATTTTCACTTTTTTGAGAGAGGATCTTGATAATGCAGACTGGCTAGCCTCGGACTCAGCTCTTCCTGTATCACAGGTGCTGGGATTAAAGGCATATGTCATGACATTTGGCCTGTTGGTATTTTGAGGTATTTTTTCCAACATTTCAATTATCTTTCACAATGAGAATAAGATTGCAGAAATTTGAAAGGACTGTTGTTAGTAGGACAGTCTAATCACTGAAGAGCCATTCTAATCTCAGTCTTCCGATAGAGGGAATCAGGACCTTCAGTGAATTCTGATGAAATCGGTGTTGTGGTTCTATGGTCCTGAAACAAATCACCAACACATTAAGCACCTGGGCCTTGGTGGAAGACAAGGTGCTTGATGGGTGTTCCCTTAGGGAGCTCCCCTGGGAGTGTGGATTCTGAAGACTGTCCTCCTCCTAGATGAGAAAGGCTTGGGTCTGGAAAGCCCTCACAGACAGCACTGCATATAAACTATGTACACCCCCTCAGTGATGGGAGGTCATCTGTGGGCGTGCTGTGCACAGAGCTGGGATGTGTTTAATACCCATACAGTTTGCCAGCCATTTATTGGATAGTAACCGTCTATGTTAAACCTACCCAAAGCAAGGCACCATTTTATCATTAACTATAGAACAATTTGAGTTCTTCATATTTTCAGTCATACCATGAACTATATGCGAACTCCTTTTTAAAACTATCTTGCCAGGTGGTGGTGGCACATGGCTTTTAATCACTTGGGAGGCAGAGGCAGGCGGATCTCTGAGATTGAGGCCAGCCTCGTCTACAAAATGGGTTTCAGGACTTCCAGGACTACACAGTGAAACCCTGTCTTGAAAAACAACAACAAAAAGTCTTGTAAAAAAAATAGTTTTCTTTCGTCAAATTGTGTATAAAGATGGTATAAGGCCTTGAGACTTGTTTCTGGCTGGTTATGGTAATGCACACCTGCAACCCAATGCTTTGGTTGTAGAAGCAGGGAGGGTCAAGAGTTCAAGGCCATCTTCAGCTACCTGGGCTGTAAAAGACCTTGTCTCAAAAACAAAACAAAAAAAAACCCAACAACAAAAAACAAGGGGGAAAAAACGTATGCTTTTCCACGAGCTGAAAATAACCCGTCTTTTAAAATGTTTTTCTTAATTTAGTTGTCATATGGTGGTGCGATCTTTAGTCCCAGCGTTAGTGAGGCAGACGGGAGGACAGTCTGTCTACAGAGTGAGTTTCAAGGTTGCCAGGGAGACCCTGTCTCAGAAAACTTGAAAAAAACCTAAAAACCACACCCACCAAGGCCTTGGTTGGATAAATGGCAGAGAAAAATACTGGGTGCATTTTGTTTGCAAGCTCACAGTCAGCATCTTTCCCCTGTTCCGGCCAGGTAGCTTTTGCTGAGCATCAGGCTAACGTCGCCAAGATGGCACCATTGGACAATGTGTGTGCTAAGAAGATGGACTGGACTGGAAGTCTCTGGGGTAAGTGGTGGTTCATTTGTCACTATTTTAAGTAGAATTTCTGAGAATAAGTAGAAAACAAACCAACCGATAATGATAAAATGATGGGATGCCATAGGAGGCTCCCCGTGGCTGACTTTACTGTAAGCACATACACAAGCGCATTCGGGGCCAGAGGAGGGTGATGACAGAATCCAGAGACTCACAGGATTGAGCCAAGCTTCAGCAACTTAGAAAGACCCTGTCCCAAGATAAAAGGGATGGGATGTAGCTCTGTGTTAGAATCTTGCCCACCTTATGAACTACCCCCAGGTTTTATTCCCTTTTCAAAAACAAACAAAAAAAAGCGAACATAACATACATTCTTAAGTTTAAAAAGTAGTGACTTACTGAATTCATCTAAACATACAGGAAAGACAGCCGCTGTGTATATGTGGTCATTAGACTAGATTAGATCCTCGGCTACCTTTTTATCATCTAGTCCACAGCATTTTCTAGGTCCTTAGCAGAAGTTTACTAAAATCAAGGAGATAAAATTAGAGCTATTTTAGCTGTAATCTTCTTAGATTGACATAAACTATTTTATAACTTTCCTACAGTTTACTTTTCTGTTTTTGTTTTGTTGGTTTTTTGAGACAGGGTTTCTCTGAGTTTGAAGCCTATCCGAGAACTGGCTACTTGTAGACCAGACTGGCCTTGAACTCAGAGATCCACCTGCCTCTGCCTCCCAAGTGCTGGAATTAAAGGAGTGTGCCACCACCACCCAGCTAGTTTTGTTTTTTAACTAAGTGAAATTGTTTTTTATCCTTCCAGATTTTATAACGGTTCTCATTAGTATTGTCCACTGTAACTGTTGAAATCTGGCCTGGAATGGTTTAATGTTCAAAGACACTTTATAAACACAAGTCTGTACTGACTGACACAGGATAGATTATACAAGTAGGTCCCAGAATTAACTTAAATTTTTTTAGATTTATTTTTAATGTGTTCAGTGTTTTTCTTACATGTATTTTTGTGGACCACATGTGTGCACGGTGCCCGAGGAGGTCAGAAGAATGTTGTTGTTTTACTCTCTTAGCTTTTGGGGGGCCCATCACACAACTCCCAAATAAATCACACATGGAATCTTACTCCTTACAAATACGCAGCCTTAACGCGTTGTTTCTAGCCAGCTTTTATCTTAAATCATCCCATCTGTCTTTTGCCTCTGGGCTCTGTATACCTTTCTCTGTGTCTGTATACCTTTCTGACTGGCTGTGTGGCTGGGTTGCTGACCCCTGGTGTCGTCCTCTCGTTCTCTTGCTCCTTCCTCTTCTTCCAGATTTCTTCTATTTATTCTCTGCCCACCAGCCCCACCTGTCCTTTCTCCTGCCTCACTGTTGTCTGTTCAGATCTTTATTAGACCAATCAGGTGTTTTAGACAGGCAAAGAATCACAGCTTCACAGAGTTAAACAAACAAAAGAATACAACACACCCTTTGCATCATTAAACAAATATTCCACAGTATAAACAAATGTTGACACATCTTAAAATGATATTCCACACAGAAGAAGGCTTCAGATCCCCTGGAACTGGAGTTAATGGATGATTGTAGCCACCGTGTGGGTGTTGGGAACTGAATCTGGTGTTATGCAAAAGTTACAGATACCTTCACCCTCATCCTGCTCCAGTCCCCAGTCACCCCCTTTTTAAATTGTGGGATTAAAACTTGGGTTCTTGGCTTCAGGAGACAATACGCCTCCTTTAATGCAGGCTAGTTTCCAAACGTGCATAAGACTACGTTAGCTATTAATTAAAAGCCTATTCTGTCTTAACAGTTTTGTCAGAGTTGACTTTGTAAAGCGAAATTTTATTGAGATAGAGGTTAGTAGGTATTCCCCCGTTACAGCGCTTCACACAGCTGCGGCAGTGCCCTGTAGCAGAGTGTGCTAACCCGTTAGTCTTCCACTTTGCAGTTCTACTTATGTTTGTGTGCATAAAAAACTAACTCTTTACTTTTTGGAAATCTATAAAGTAGATCTTTTTTGTCTCCATAAGATTTGTTGAATTTGGATTTTGCAAGTATGATTTTGGACTTGATATGAAATAATTAACATTACAGAGTCTATTTAAAATATAAAACAACTCAAAAATTTACTGGTGGGTGGGTAAGAATGGTTAAAACCAAAGTAATTTCATTTGTGAAAAAAAAAAAAACCAGCTTTGTTTTTCTTTAATTTTGTCTGTTTCTCTATGTAGAATGGTTTAGAAGTTCATGGACCTATAAGGATGACGCGTGCCAAAAGTACTATGAGCTCTTACTAATCAACCCTATTTTGTTGGTTCCGCCAACAAAGGTATAGAATATATTAATTACAGTATCACAAACTCTTTGCCTGCATAAAGGATTGATAGGGTTAATAATAAACCTTTGTCCTAGGGGGGGAAAGTACTTTCATTAAACATTGGTTTTCAAATTTAGGTGGGCATGGTGGCATACCTGTAATCCTAGCACCTGGGAGGCCAAGATGGGAGGATAGATGTCAAGGCCTGGTTAGATCACGGTTTGAGCTGAATGTGCTCAGAGCACACATGCACATACATAGAAATGTGCATTTTAATTTGTAATTTGAGCCTTAGTGCACGGTGAAGTTTTGCATGTGGATGTCTCAGTCTTTTGAAGTTGCTCTGATCTTTGTTTTAGGCTCTGGCAGTTACATTCACTAACTTCGTAACAGAACCATTAAAGCACATTGGAAAAGGAACTGGTGAATTCATTAAAGCACTCATGAAGGAGATTCCAGTGTTACTGCAGATTCCAGTGCTGGTGATTATGGCATTGGCCGTCCTGGTTAGTACATTGGCCCAACTGCTGGTAGTTAACAAGCGTGTGATGTTTGACAGAGAAGGCAGTTTGAAACGTCTGGATTAATATACTGTGCTCAGAGGTGTAAGGTGATTTTTAATAAGTTGAGATCGTATATATTCTTTTAACTAGTAGTTCTTGGGTTTGTAGGCACCACAGTAATAATTTAGAATAGCCCTTTTTAGCTTTAACTTGAATACACAGGAAGTTGGCTGACTGCCTCCTCTGTAGAGAAATGAGGCTTTATCCCAGTCTGAGTTTTGCAGCATAGAACAGAACAGAAAGGGGTGTAGGAGGAGTGTTGTGTGCACTGAAAATCACTTTGGGTGGGGGAGTCCAAAAGTAGATATTTACTAAAAATAGTGCTTGTACTTCTCCCATAGTTAGTTCAGCATCTTGTTACTTATGGCCATGGCCTTCCCAAAGCACTTGCTGTATGGATCAAAAATGAAGACTCCCCAGGGATTTGGAATTACATGTTGTATGCACTGACTGACTTGTTCTCTTTTGGGTTTTGCTTTGGTGCATGATTGATTATGAAATTCAATAATTAATAATTTTATCATTTTCCCTAAATGACTATGAATAAAAATAGGAGCAATAATCAGGTTTTAAATTGAAATTTCTAGAATTATCTAAATTTCTAGGTCTAAAAATACTCTTATGTATTTAAAGTATATCAAGTTGATTGAAATATTTACTTAATATTGTTTTTTAGTACATTGTATTGGCTATTTTGGCCTATTAGTCCAAAGAAGAAGTTTTTAATCAAAGAGTGAAATTAACATTTTTATGTCCACAAATACTAAGACAGCTGGCTTTATTAAACCCTGAATAAAATAGCTCCTACTTGATTACCTGTCCATCACTAAATCCTCAGAATGTATTTCTTTTCTTTACAGAGCTTCTGCTACGGTGCTGGAAAGTCAGTTCCTATGCTGAGACACTTGGGTGGTCCTGAAAGAGAACCTCCCCAGGCACTTGAGCCAGCCGACAGGCTACAGAAGAAGCAACTTGACTATAGACTCCATGGTGGAGCAGGTGATGCAGATTTCTGTTACAGGGGCCACGCTGGCTCCATCGAGCAAGGCCCTTATGACACGATGCATGCGTGTAACAGAGATGGTTTGAGACAGAGACACGCTGATATGAGAATTCGCACTGGCAACAAGAGCCCTGAAGTGCTCCGGGCATACGATTTACCTGACACGGAGGCTCAAGAGCATCCAGAAGGGGTACCCAGAGTAAGTCAGCCACTGTGTATTCTGCTGCCTGTTCACTCTAGGCCCAAGAGCTTCTTACAGATTTGTGTTGGTGTTCAGTCACTAGTGCAATGATTATTACCCTCTCATTGTTATCACCAGCCCAGAGTCCTCAGAAAATGAGATTTACTTTATGTTAAATACCATTTAACTGTATTCTTTACAACAGGTGGTATTTCCTATGAAACTAACAAGTGAGTCTGACTGGAATTTCTGGTTTTTTTTTGACATGATCAGAGAGGGTCTCCCAGGGGGCCTAAGTGTGCTAGGGGACTGGCTGGCTGCAGAGCTCTGATGGCCCAGCCTGGGAGAAAGGGCTGGGCAGGGATCGGGAAGAAGCCCTCCCTGCTCTCCCTTTCTCTCGACAGAATCCCTGTTGATTCTGTAGTATAGAAGAAGGCAGTAGCACGGTTGGCTGGACTGGACGTTTTATCTGCAAGGTGATGTCATATGAGTGCTTCGGCAGTCCTGGGTATTGAACCTGGGCTCTCACGTGCTAAGCCACTGAACTACATTTTTGGCATTACTGTTGGTGTTTTTAAAGGGCCATTTCCATTTCTGCCCAAGATAGGAATTGGTATTGTTGTTTGCAATGTTTGAGTTTCAACTAGAAATCATTGAGAAAGCTGTACGTACAAGAGACTCTAGAAATGACAGAAATGGCACTGGGTTCTTTTGTGGATGTTAATGTAGCTAAATAACCTGAGACTGTTCCTTCCGGCTTCTGTAGCTGTTGATCACCTGCCACTCATTCTAAGCCCCTCTAGTGATGTCCCAGCTGGCAGGGAAAGCCATCTACCACAGTGGTCCTGGGAACTCCTGCTCTGCCATGCCCCACATGTAACCCCCTTACCAATCATTTCCTGCTCTTTGCTCACTGAACCTTGGTGACAAGGTCTTGTTTTTGTTGTTCACTGTTTAGAATGCTGTGCACACACTCTTCAGCGTTTACTCATGTCATCTTAATTTAATCTGCCATCTGATCATATTCCGTCTAGCACCAAACTCATTTTTTTTCTATGTAGCCTGTACTTCAAATGTCATACTCTTGTACGCCAGATTCATCATCCCCACCCAAATGTGGGTTCCTATGGGAGCAGATTTTATGTTTTGCTCCTTCTCTATTCCTAGCACCTAGAACTTAAAACAGGCTCACATGAGATTATTCTCACCAGGCAGGAGACATTGTTACTGGTAGCCAACCCTTCAGACCTCCTAAGCAGGGTTTGTAGATACGTACAAGACCTTAAGTGTCCTCATCCTTCTGTGAGGCTTACTGCTTCAATCAGGATGCAGCTCTAGAATCGGGATTTTAAGATGTGTGGAGCACACTACAATAGATGTGGATAAGAACTGGCAATGAATCCTTTATATTTTGTTAAGTAAAATTTAATTCTGTATTTTAAAGCATAAACCATCCATTGTGAATACAAACCTCAAAGAGATTGGTGGACTCCCAGGAGAAAGCACCCCAACAGAACACAGCCAGTCTGCCAAGACTGTCTCTGGCCAAGGTGCAGGGACTGCAGAAGTCTCACCCACAGCGGAGAAGGCCCCGATGATGCTAGATTCTGCGTGCAGCCCACAGGGAGGTGCCACACACAGCCCAGAAACTGCAACATGTGTGACTGACCTTGTCAGCAGCCCATGTGGCTAAGGAACATGAAGTCATCTTTGAAGTCTGTAAAGTATTAACTCTTCATTCTTCCCTAAAAATATGTTGGTATTTACTACAAAGCTGCCAACTTTAATATTACAGACCATCAGTATCTCTTAACCTATTAAGATGTCTCATAATTTTAGAACAGGGTTTTGTATGTTTTCAGATGAATGCTATGGCAAATATAATTAATAAGTAATTAAAGTTGAACTGGCATTTAGAAGAAGCAACTAATCAGAGTGTATGTTAGCTGGTGGAGGGTCCTGTGAAACCTAGTTAACAGAATAATTGGTTTGATTTCGTCAGTGTTTGCATTGCAAAGGGTGTTTAATGCAGGCTGGCAGCTGCTGCAGCCCCAGAGTACATGTGACCGTGTCAATCCCATTATGTAGAACAATGTGACTCTGGTTACTAGGCCTGCTTGTCATACATTTTACATTAGGTCTCACTAAGACAAACCTGAGGATGGCCTGGTGCTATCAGTCTTTCTCAGTTTCTCACTTCATCATTGAGAATGGCTTTATTCTCCACCATGAAGTGCTGCTTTTATAAAGACCCAGTTTCCATGTTGAGAACCTAGCAATTGATGCTATTCAGTTTTTATTATGGAAAACCATCTTGTCTGGGCTAAATGCAATTCTAGTTTTCGAAGAGCTTACATAGGAAATAAGATGTATTAACTGTGGGCAGATATATTGTCAATCAACATTTTGTGATTTTAAAATACATTCTCCATTTTAAACCTTTTAAAAAAGCAATTTCTGTATTTTGTACAAGTCCCTAGTTAGCAGTCTTTCTTTGAACTCAGGTGTCCTTTGTCGTAACCACATCCACACTGCACATTTTATTCAGCTGCTTTCCTAACATCGACGTCACTCAGGAATTAAGGCTTGAAATGATCAGGCAGGCTATTTCAGCAAGGATATTCAGAACAACTGACTTTGATTTCTTTACAGAAATGTATGCTATTCCATTTTTTATACTTAGCAGTTATCTTTGTCATTCACCCTGACTGGGAAATACACTCCCAAGGTGGGACGTGTATTGGAGCTCTGGAATTCTGAGGAGAGAGAACTCCTGTAACAGATGTTCCTGAAAGGAAGGGAAGGGCACTGCTGTTGCTTTTAATCCAGAAACAAACACTTCTAAAAACATTTACAGTCTCATCTTTGTACTTCTCATTGCAGATAACTGTTTGGGAGTGGACTCTATCTGGACAGTCAGCAAAGCAACATGCTGTTGTCGAAAGATTACAGTCATTCAGGGAAGACTTGACTAAAACAAGTGAACATATCAAGGCCAGCTTGTTTCAGTTGACTAGCAAGTGTTTGTCATGGAGACTAAAGCATATTGTAACTGCCTGTTAAGAAAGTAACAACAGGGTAGGTAGCTGTTAAAAGCACCTTTTAAAATGGAATAATGTTGAATGCTTACAGGGTCTTAATAGGCACTGTAAACACAAAATAAACACTTATTTTTACATTATTTTGATATGCTGTGCTGTCTTTGCTTTCTTAATGAACAGATGATCTTCACAACATCACTGTCGTGTAAATAAACTCACATTAGTACCTTGGCAGAGCAAGGTCTAATGGTGGCTGAGGGCCTAGCCAGTGCCCTGCATGCTTATGTGAGTTTGCATGTGTTTTCTGCCTAGATAGTTCAGTTTTGACCAAACCAACCACACGGTTTTCTGGTTTTCCCAACAGTAAGTCTTATATAGCAGTATTATGAAATAAAAGAAACAAAGCATGCTAAAAGTAGTTTTATTTTTTATCCCCCCACTGACTTTGCCTAAAAATATATTGAATATAGTTTTCTTAAAGAAACTAAAATTTTATGACTATTTTTCATCTTTTTTACATAGGACATTTACATTATTATATGTAATTTACATAAACAATGCAGTCCACTATATTCAAGGGTAAGTATAAAAAAGTCATTGTCAACTCATTCCTTAAAAAATGACCTCAGTAAGAGGACTGAATTCTAATGTAGGGTATCATTTAAATTCCTAGTTCACAAACGCTAGTCAAGGAATCTAACGGTAAGTTGCTGGAGCACCTACAGGACATTCTGCCCTGAAACAAACGTCTACGAGAATGTCAGTCCCTGAGTACTTCAGCATTTACATCCTAAAAACATGTTAACTACAGTGCCGTCGTTTCCTCCTCTGGAAGAGGGTGGATCTCCCTGCAGTGTTCTGAAGGGAGCTAGTCGTCTTTAGTAGGAAATACCACAACAGCATCTAGTGGTTTGGTAGTTACTTTCCTGAATGCTTAAATTCCAGCAAAGCATTATTTTGCAAAAGTTCCTTTAGTCCAAACTCAGTACCTCTGTTTGGATCTCTCTGTAGAAGAACTCTTTGTTCATCCATTCTTTTAGCTTGAGAGCGTAAAATGAGGCTAAAAAAGTCTTCATCGGGGACAGTTGGCCCCTTGGTGGCAGCAGGTGGTGGAGGACATCTCTGATCATCTAATCTGGACCCCTAAAGATGGAGAGGAATGAAAACATAATGACTAGGGACGACAGTGTGGCATATGTCAGTCACCAGTTAGATCTATAAGCATTCCTTTTGGCCTTTTTCAGACTCTTGGCTTAAGAACAGAAACTTGACAGAATGGGAATATAGTATATTAAGTAGAAATGGGCTTCACATGTACATTGTATCATACTATTACAACTGGTCACAAGTAATCTGATGCTAAAATGCAAGGTCAACTGTCCAAAAGTCCCAATGACAGTTGCCCTCTTATCAGTCTTTACAGGTGTTTGTATATAACATTTCTAGAATGACCTAGGCTAGACCTAGGCCAAAGGCCAATAAACTATAATTACTAACTATAGTTACTAGATTATATTTTTGAAATATACTTTTGTGCCTACTTTTGAAGCCGTTCAACCCAGAGGGTATTCAACTGTGTACAGAACAGATGTCCCCAGTCACTCCCCATCCTGATCACCCACTGCCCCTTCACCCTCTTCACACCAAGTACCATTGCCTGTCTGTTTCTCTCTCTAGCACAATATAGACACTTGGTTGGCCTCTATCTTCCCAATAAGACACAGGACCCTGCAAAAGCAAGAGCATCCTTGGTATCCCAAACTGTGCCTGTAACATCAGTGGTGTTCAGAATGTAGGCAAGTAAGTAAGAAGGGCCTGATCCTCAATGAGCCCTTCACAAGAATTTGAATACTGCCCGAGCTGCTCTACAGATGGAGTGTGTGTGTGTGTGGGTGTGTGTGTGTGTATACACACGTACTTGACACTTTACAAGGATGTCGAAGAAGTCTTCATCAGGCTCTTTCTTGTCATTTGTCACCAGGCGCTCAAGTACAGACTGATTGTTGTTTTTTGTCAGACGGAGGCCTGGCAAATTACTGAAACTGGCCCTCTGGTCATCCAGGCGGCGGCTCTGTGAGCTGGCAAGAAGATCTAAGAACTCATCTGTGTTGGGGGACACCACAGAAACAGATGGTGCTATGGACAGGTGGGAAAGAGAAACACGTAAATGTTAAATGCTGAAACACCTGTATGTACGCTGTCTTTGCCACCTTGCTCTCCCGCAGGGCACTGTCGCTGCTGTGGCCTTTCCAGGGCTTCAGCTTTGCCCAAAATAACTGAGGTACGGGCTGGGTTTCAGAAGTAAACAAATGGTGTTAGTTTTTTTCCTTATATAATTTCACCTAATGTTTGTTTTCTTTCCATGATCAGGATGGAAATCATTTAAAGAGACGAAAGACTGGTCAATCTTATATTGTTTTTTGAGATAGGGTTTCTTCTCTGTGTAGCCCTAGCTATATCCTGGAACTCACTCTGTAGACCAGACTGGTCTCAAACTCACAGAGATCCATCGTCTACTTCCTGAGTGGTGGGACTGAAAGCATACACTACCACCTCCCGGCTGAGACCGGCCAATATTAATTTATGTGGTAGAAATCATCTTTTAGTAGCGAAATATGAGTAATGTATTTTAGGCTTCTGAATTTTAGATATGAAATATATGCCTTATTTATATATGCTCTATAAATTACTGCCTTGTATGTGTGTGATGCTGCAGACAAAAGAGCCTACTACTCACCAGACAGATGCTCTACCACTTAGCAGCAGCTTTTCTTCTTGAGTCAGGGAGGGCTTCACTATCTAATAGCCCAGGCTGGCTTGGAATTCACTTTAATATCCTGTCTCAGTGCCTCATGCTAGGATTATGGGATCTCTTACTGTGTTTCTAAAACAAGAAGTATGAGAAATGACAGCACCAAAGACAACTATTAAAACTGGGGAAAAGCAGGCATCGATGGCGCCTGTAATCCCTGCACTTGGGAGGGAAGCAGGAGGATCGGGACTCCAAAGCCAGCCTTGGCTATGCCTCAGATAAGTGATGAAAACTGAAAGAGCAGCAGAGGAGGCTTACCTTTCCCCACCTTGGGGGTGGCAGAAGCTGCTGCTGTGGGTGCTGCACCACAGTTCTCCTGTAGGCAGCACCTCTGGTCATCCATCCTGTTGCTCTGAAATCGCCGTAGTAAGTCAAAGAATCCTTCATCTCCAATACTGTCTGCACTGATTTTCTAAAACAGAAAGTCTAGTATGCTTAATTATTCCTCCTTTATCCTCAGGTCATCCGTGAACATCATGATGTAATCAGTTGCAAAAGGGAAAGGATAGATATTAAAAACAAAAACTGGCCTTTTATTTTCAAAAAGAATTCGAATGGCAATGTTGGTAATAAAGCGCTCCCATACTAACCCTACAAGAATCACTTAGTTTGTAACTTTTAATTCCTGTATTTCTTAGGCCAAAGCTTGGCTTGGACACTCAACTATGATCCTAGCTTCTTACAAACTGAGGCAGGAAGATCACAAAGTGAAGGGCAAGTCTGGCCAACTCGGTGAGTGTCCCAAATAGAATCTAACAGAAGTTTTGGAGATGCAGCTGTAGCTCCGTGGTGGATTACACAGCTTGTTCAAGGCCCTAGATTTAATCTCCACTACAAGAATAAAACGCCTCAATCTTCAGCGTGCAGTCATGCCAGCTGGCGGTGGCGCTGTGAGCTGAGAAATGCAGACCTAGGTGGGTGGAGCCACTGCATGCCTAAGCTACATGCTAGAGTGCAAACTGCCTGTGTGCATGTGGTCAGAAAGAAATGCCACTCTACTGTATGAGCAATACAGAGTTACCCCAGGCTCAATGACTCCGTAATAGGATTTAAGTAAGTTAATTTTTGTAAACTATCTAAGAGGAAAAGCAAGTGTGTTTTCCATGTGGGGACACCAGAGCTAGGGATCAAATGCATAAAAAGACCCTGGAAAAAACTTCAATTAAGTGTTTGAAGGGAGGAGGGGTTTGGAGTGCTCCAAACCTGAATAGTGTATGTAATGTCTAATACAAGCGATTGATTTTCCATAAGAATTGCAATAAAGGTATATACATACAACATGTTATAGTCCTAAGAAGGGAGTAAGTAAACTAGCTAAGGTCTCATGTATTTGTATTGGCTCTTTTAAAAATGAACAGGCATTTGCCAGTTGGAGATGTTCTGTACTGATAAATATGGTTCCAAAGGTTTGTTTACAGGACAGTGGATGGAAAGGCAGAGGTGGGTTAAGAAAGCATCTGCCTTTGTAGGCAAAATACTAAGTTCTCAACTTCAGTGGTCGTGCAGCTAGCGATAGGCAGTCTGTACAGATGCCTCGTGATCCAGGCAGCAAAAGCGAAAGCAGAGGGAGATGAAGTCTAGAGAAGAGACTGTAAATACCAGATGAAGACTGGGGAGGGGGGAAGTTTCTAGAAGAGACATACAGATCTGAAGAAAAAATGATGAGGCGTGGGTAAGACAGGAAAGGGAATCTAGAGGAACACCAGCTCTGGGGGACAGCACAGGACACCCTAGAAACGAGACGGAAAGAATAGGAGAGGTAGGAGGTAAGCTGGATTGGACATCCGGAAATGAAGTGCTTCCAAACTATAGTCATACCTTATCACCAAGATCTCGTTCTAGGCGCAAAGGGCCTGTAATTTACAATTCTGAACATCAAAAGCAGCATGGGGACTGGGCATGGTGAGGAAGACCTTGTCTCAAGAAGTTCAAAATGGAAACAAAAAACCCACAGTAGGTTTCAAAAGTACACACATTTTAGCTCGATTCAGGTGTCTGCGGAACATAGCCTGGAGCCCTAGTTCTGCTGCATCCCTGGCCCGTATGTACAAATTCTTCCTTTTGTTAGCCAAAAACCAAAGAAAGGTATACAGTCATCAGTGGAATTTTGATTAAAAAAAAACAACTTTTTTTAAAAATATCCTCATTGACTGAAAATGGGACTCGGTGAAGAATGTTCTGGTTCTCTATCAGGATACAGAGGAACTAGTTAGAGAGTTCTTTGATACTGATCAATAAGCCTTTATTTTAGAGTAAGTTAAATTCAATAAACTGGTATACTTAATGAAAACACAGTTATGGCTTCCGTAATAGGATGAGATAAAAGCT